CAAGTTCACAAAATGTGGGGGCCCTCTAAGACTGTGGTTCCCAGGAGTTTCTCTCTGTCTTGCCAGTCCACACTTAGCCTCCATGAGTTTGTCAATATTATCACATAAGCAGCCCTATCAGTGTCTGGTACCAGTGGCTTCTGCTGTAGGTGAACAGACCTCAGGTCTGACTCTTTGGTTAGTGTTGTCTCTCCAGACACTAGTTTGCCATATGCTTTAGTCAGCCTAGGCTGCGGCCACAAAACACTGCAGACTGGGTGGCTTAAACAACAGACATTCAGTTTTCGCAGTTATGGAATTTGGAAAGTCCAAGATCAGGTTTCCCGTGGATTCAAATTGTTCCTGATCGGAACCCACTTCCTGGCTTGCAGACACTTTTCTCATGATATGACGCTAATCCCATCGTGGGGACCCCACCCTCATGACTTCATCTAAACCTAATGATGTCCCAAAGGCCCCACTTTCAAATACATCACATTGGGGTTAGGGCCTTAATATGAATGTTGGAGGGACACAATCCAATCCATAGCACCAAAGAACCTCAGTTTTCTGACAGGACTAAGAAAAGTCATTGATTTTCAGTCTGTCCAGCTTTCTTGGTGCTTAGAGTACAGTCATGATTTCCAAGCTCTTTAAATACAGAGCTGATGCCTTTCCTGTTTACTAATATGTGTATGTGTATCCACGACTCCGAATTTCCCTTTAAGAACAGTTTTCACTGTTGCTTTCTTACTTTCTGTTGTGTGTAGGACATTATGTATGAAAAATGAACAATTTGCAACCTAGAAAGGTATCTTTCTCCAGAATCTAACTACATTTGCTTCTATAGGTAGAAATGAGCAGGAGACATCTCTGAGCATCTTAATGTTATTGCATAGATTGAGAAGGTAGGAAGCTGAATTTTAGGTCCTCTAAGGAGTTGTCTGTCTCTGATTTACCCTTTATCCTAAGCCGTAGACCCTTAGAGTTCCAATACAAAATCTGTGGAAGCTTACAGGCTGTTCTCATCCTTGGGGCACCTAGAACTAAAATTTTGGCTTTAACCCTATGAAGTTGTAAAAAGGTCTCATGTTCAGGTTCTTTGTATCGCAGGTTCTCTCCAGGAATCCTAGAAAGAGAAAAGAGTCTCAAAGGTAGGGCTCTATCCTTAGGTTTTCTTCTTCTTCCAGATCTTGGACATTTGATATTTTATTATCTTTGAGCACTTCATTCCCTATTTTTTATTTTGTATGACTTTTCTAGTAGGAGGAATGTTCAGAATTTCCTAGTCTACCATTACCATACTATGAGGATTTTTTTAAAGCTGAAATTTATTTTCCATTTTAGTAAAATTTTAGTCTTTCAAAAAACTAGACATATTTTATCCTAATATAAATTTAAGAGTAATGACCTATCCATGTGTCTTCCAATTTATTGCTGTCTCTGAACAATAGTTACAGACTCTAGCCAAGGCTGTATCTTTCACATGCTTTTTGGCTCTTGCCATCTGACCTTTCCATCTTGAGAACTGAAACCTTTCTATGCTAAAAGGGCTGAAACAGTGTAGTTTACAACTTGGTTTCTTCACAGAGTCTAATATAATGGCCAAGACATGGGGCCTTACTGAAATATTGCCAATAGTTTGGTATCCTTCTTATAAATATTTTAAAGGTAGTATTTTCAGAGCAGAAGGGGTGGTAGAAACCAATTTTATATTAATAAAATTCTGTATTCTTATATTGAAATTTGATACTTATCATATACACAGGACAAACCTTAACTTTCTAATTTGATTTCTCTACCCTCATTGCTGTTTCTCTATTACAATAAATGAATGCCATTCACACTCAACTTAAGAGAGAATCAGCATTTATACATACAATTACAAGAAGCTCGTTCAACATATGTCTACAAGTTATTCTTACCTGGGTTTATGCTAGCAAATTCCCCACTTTCCAGGAGTTCTTATTTTTTCTTTGCTTTGTAATTATTTATTTATTTTTTTGGTTTTTTAGACGAGACAGTCTCCTGGGAGGCACACTGGCACACGTGGTAAATATTTATAACCAACATCATAAAACAAAGGGCTGACTTCCATTAGATAGCATGTTGTTATAATGCATTTAGTGTCTGCATGTCAGCTGACTGTGTCAGAATGAGTTGTTCTTGGAAATAGGTCATATGTAAGTCACCTGAATTCTCGTAACAAGAGAGGTCAGAGGATTTTCATGTTTGCTTGCTTGTCATGTTGAATTTATATTAGTATTGCTGTTTATTTTGGTGGGAACTAAACCAATTTTTATGCAATTACACAGCCTGCTATATAACTACATGTAAGTGGTCCCATGTTTCTGATTTATTACAGCAGTGTTTTGGATCCCCTTATGAACTGCCATATGGGCATTTCGCTTTATGCATCTTGACTTTCATAGATGAGTTGCTCAATTAATATTTATAAAATAGATGAATGCTATTATACCTCTTCATAAACTTTAGAATCATTATGGAAATACTTAAAATCTTGTGAAAAACTTTAATTCATTAACTTCATAAATTATCTCGGTTAGAATGCATTTTTAAACCATCTATGAATACCTCATTGAGCTTGAAAATGAAGTCTCAAAGAAAAGAAAAATACCATTAAGTCTTTTTTATTTTTGTCACATAAGACACATGACCTTAATTCTACTTGTAGGTGTTTCATACATTTGCTGAAATACTGGCATATTCTTTTATATTTCGTAGCTGTTAGGAAGTTGTCATTTTATGCTAGAGTCCTATTGATTATTGGACATTTGTCTTTTATTTTTATTCTGCTCCAATAATTTTGAGAAAATGTAAAGTTTATGGAACTGTCCTTTTGTCTATAAAAGTTAACTGGTAGAGCTGTGCTCGGCAATAATCTAAGTTGCCTTACTCTCAACGTGTCAAAGATTTTAAATGTAAATTACGAGAAAGAGCAGGGGAGCCTCAGATAAAATATCAAGCTTTCTCTAGGGTGACTTGTTTGCTTTCATGTTCTGTTGGAAGGAGGGCTATTGACAGCTTAGCTAAATTATGTGCTCTGGAGTCAGCAAAGCCTGGGATTAAATTCTTACTCTGCTACTTCTTAGCCATGTGGCTTTCGGCAAACAACTTCTTTAATTTTCATTATCCTCAGTTTTAAAGTGGGTACAAAAGTGACTACCTCACAGAGTTGATGGAAGTATTACAGCTGCATAATATATTTCTCTTGCACTTGACCCGGAGTCACAGAATTGCACACTGAAGACCTTTAGATTGATAACACAGAGCACATGTGCTACCTATTTCTCCCCTTAGAAGTTAGCCCTGGTGAACCATTCTCCTAAAATCTTTTCCCTCTCTGAAGTTTTGCAATGATATAAGGAGGGGGAAAAAGCAAGGCTTATCCACAAGCCAGAAAAAATTTCAAAACCAGCTAAAGACCAGAAGCCCAAATTGGCTTGGCATGCATTAGAAATGCAGATTCCAGGGCCCCACTTGCAGATTGAGCAAGGATCAGGATCTAGAAATTGCATTTTTTAAAAATATAATTTATCTTCAAATTGCTTACATACAACACCCAGCGCTCAACCCAACAAGTGCTCTCCTCAGTGCCCATCACCCACTTAAAAACTGGATTTTTAAACAGTTCCTCACGTAATTCTAATAGACACCAAAGTTCAGAATCTACAACAAAAGGAAAGAATCTAAAACAAAATCAATACATGTTCATTAAAAAAAATCCAGATATGACTGAAATTTCCTAAAAACCCCGTATCCCCCACCTCATAATTTCTCTTGCCCTTTGTAAGAAAGGGCACCTGGGTGGCTCACTCAGTTAAGGTCTGACTCTGGCTCATGATCTTGCGGTTTCATGGTTTGAGCTCCTCATGGGACATCAGACTCTGCATTAACGTTGCGGAGTCGGCTTCAGATTCTGTGTCTCCCTCTCTTTTTGCCCCTCCCCCATTCATGCTCTGTCTCTCTCGCTCTCAAAAATGAATAAACATTTTAAAAATTAGGGAAAAAATGAAGGCATAAACATCCACATAATGAAGTTATTTATTTTTTTTAAAGAGCAGTTTAAATCAATGCATTCTTCATGAATTTGCATTGGTTTGAAAAAGGTATTCGTACCAAATTGAAGAATATCTCTTAGGCAAAGGAAATACCTTTGAGACCTGATAGTATGCATAGAACTTTTCATTTATAAGGTAATGTAACATCAACCGCATCCCTCATTCACTAACATTCTGAAACAAATGCCTATTAAATACAGAATTCCACAGCAAAGTCTTTATCTTATGTATTGAAGAAATTTCACCATGAGGAGCAAAACAAGACAAATATTATTGCTCAGTTAACTAATATTTAATCACTAGCAATGATTCATGTTCTCTTGATGACATTGATCCTAGGAAGTTATTTAAGGTACCCAGAGCATTCCACCATAGTGTTCTGCCTGTAGTGTTGCTGCACCTACTTCCTGTATCTATGTTTTACTTCATTTTACTAATTATTATAAAATTAATACACGTTCATTTTTTAAAAACCCAGATATAACTAGAATATGCTAAAAATCCCATATCCCCCACCTCATAATTTACCTTGCCCTTTGTAAGAAAAAACTACTTAGGGGCACCTGGGTGGCTCAGTCCGTTAAGCGCCCAACTTCGGCTCAGGTCATGATCTCACGGTTCATGGGTTCGAGTCCCACGTCGGGCTCTGTGCTGACAGCTAGCTCAGAGCCTGGAGCCTGTTTCGGATTCTGTGTCTCCCTCTCTCTCTGACCCTCTCCTGCTCATGCTGTCTCTTTCTCAGAAGTAAATAAAACATTTAAAAAATTAAAAAAAAAGAAAAAGCTACTTAAAAGTTTAAATGTGCCAAGACATTTTTATTACATATATAAGCTAAGCATCTTATATTTCTTCTTTATGTTCTTAAAATTTAAATAACTCATGAATTGATCAGGTAAAATGTGAACGACTGCCACTCGTAGACCTCCCCATTCCACCTACCTGTGTTGCCATTGCCACTGTGTATCTTTTCTCCTAATCCCTTAAGATGTTGAGAGCATCATAGTGGCATCTATCTAAATCTGTGAATGTACATTAATGTTGAAAAAACATGAGCTCTTTTGGAAGGTTATCTAATTCATCATCCAGCTGTTCACTGAAAGAAATCAAAATTGTATTAGCCTGCCAGTGGCACCTAGGAAAATATAATCGAAGTGAAAGAGGGCCTGATTAGGACTGAATGTCAGTGGACCAGAGTCTCGACCCTAGATACACATTTCCCTGATTTGGAGATTGGAGAGCCTGGAAACACACACAGGCACATGCACTCGCACACACGTGCACATACCTATGCATGCGCGCACACACACACACACAGAGACACACACCAACGCCCAGAGATGAAATTTTGACCAGTGAGAAGACTGGAGCTTTCTGGAAGGGTCTGACTATCAGAGTTAAAATACTGTGGGATTAAGCACTATTCTATTTATGTTCTGGGAAACAGTAGCTAAGAATGAGGGCCTAAAACATACTAGATAACTATCCCTATCATGGGAGATATAGTTCACATTAGCACATTCACAGTTGACATGCTCTTAGAGGTTCTGTACATAAGAAACCTGTTGAAGTTTGTTTCGTTTTTAAGCTCAGTCTTTCCCAAGCATACACATCAAACATATTTTATCGCGAACCACTTTGAGCCAAGCCATGTTCTAGGTACGCTGGATGGAGGGCACAGGTCTTCCCTTTCTGGAGCTCATCCTCTAGTGTGATAAGATAAAGAAACAAACAGTCAAATAGAAGAAGACCCCAAATAAGGAGTGATATGAAAAAAATAACATAAGAAATAAGATGCGGAGGTGTGCCAGGTATACTGCTGTTGAAACTGTGATTAGCAAGAGCCTGACTTAGGGGGGAGTATTTTGACCAAAGCCTGAAATGGCAAGAGATGCTGGTTGTGCAGAGACCTTGATGAGAGAACTTGCAGAGTAGCAGGGACAGCTGGCGCAAAGACCCTAAGGAGGACTGAGCTTGACTGTTCCAGGGAGTCTGGGTGGTGCAAACATGATGGAGGGTGTTGACAAAGGATATGTGTTTGATAAGGAGCTTAGCTTTTGTTCTCAGTGCTAAAGAAAGCAGTTGAGGTTACATGGTTTAATTTACCTTTAAAATTTTTAAAAATTAATGTTTATTTGTTTTGAGAGAGAGAGAGACAACGCGAGTGGGGGAAGGGGAGAGAGAGGGAGACACAGAATCTGAAGCAGGCTCCAGGCTCCCAGCTGTCAGCACAGAGCCTGGCGCGGGGCTCAAACTCGTGAACCATGAGATCATCACTTGAGCCATAGTTGGATGGTTAACCAACTGAGCCACCCAGGCACCCCGCTTTTAAAAATTGTTCTGACTGCTCAGAGAGGAAGAGATAAGGGCTGCAGGACAGGAGAAAAAAAGAGATGAGGAGGAGGTCATTGAGGCAGTTCTTTCTTGTGAGATAACACTTTGTTGAACTGGGTGGTCATAGCTGAGATGAAGAGAGGTGTCCAGGCTTGGGATATAATTTGGAGGTGCCATCACAGAACTGCCTGTGGTGTGTGAGCCTAAGAGCTGATGTATGGAATATTGGTGGGGTGGGAGCAAGAAGTAGGAATTAATTGATAAGGGGAGTCAAAGTAAATTAATTTGACTATGAAACACCCAGCCTTTTGAAAAAATGTTTAGAAAATATTTTGGTAAATGCTGCTAAAGGGATATCAGTGAAGTAGAAAGAAAAGTAGATAAATGTGCAGGCTCCCTGTCTATTGGTATTCTTAACGTATTTACCTTGGTCTTGTGAAATCTATATGAGGCCAGTCTTATTTGTTGATCTGGTCACGGTCAGCAAACTTACCAAGAGCCTGAATAGACCCCTTATTTTGTTCCTACATTTGCTGATTGTTACAGCTGAAAAAAAATCAAAAGGGAGGAGATGAAGGGGAAAAAAATGAAGTAAGAGGAAGGGAGGTTGGGTAGGGGAGGAGGAGGAGAAGACATAAAAAAGTAAATATAAATTATTGAGAACAACTTCTGCTTCCCCCTAACTTTTTCATTTATGAGGCCTTACCCTTCGTCATGGAGGAGAAAACTAAAGCTTCTTAGGTGTTAGGTGCTGTGGTTTGTGGCTTTTGCAGGTGAGCTCCGTGTCAGGCAGATGCATGCTGATTTTGCGGAAGGAAGGCAGCTCTTGGTCTTACCATACGTACAGCAGTTTTACAAATACCAGAGGGTTATTTTCTACCTTTCTGACCTTTCATTTCCTCGTCTTCACTTTGTGCTAGCTCAGCATCATTCCCAAGGTCTTTTTAGCTTTCAGTTTCTAGAGTCTATAAGTCTAATTATAGGTCTTTCCAATTATTATTGCTTCTAATTTCCCTCAACAGTTCTTTTTTTTTTTTTATACAGGTACTTTTGTTATTTTTTTATTAAATTACTTTGACACGTAACAGTTCTTCATCTGTGTACTGGCAGTGCAGTGAAGTTGAACAGCCTGTTTTCAGAGTGTAGTTTAGTAGTTCTGAATGGAATGTTGGGTGATACTTTTGTTTATGTTACTTAGAGGAGAAAATGAAACAATGGAAACAGGTTCCTAACTTTTATCATTCATCAGTGATGCAGGCAACTTCTTTGCTGAATCAGATCCTACTTTTTTAATACTGGGAGATTTTCTCAATATTTTTGTGCTGTTAACAATGTTAATGCTTTTAAGTATAATTTGTACTTTATAGAAACAAAGTTTATTGAGGGTATCATGTTGAAAGCTGGCTTAATGGGGAAGATGGGATTTCATCTACTCTCAATGTAAAGAACAGCTTGACCCATCATGACTTCTGTGGAAAGAAGGACATTACAATGTCCTGGTAATACAATTTTTTTTGAAGAAGGCAGCCATTTTTATAGTTAAAAAAAAAACACATCAGACATTGCTTGTGGACACTATAGGCCACAGGGTGCAATGGATATTCTCCAAATGCATTGATTTCCTTCTTTCCTTTTCCTTTTAGGGCTTTTCAGGAAATGCAAATGCAGACAGTGTTGTGTACTATAGACTCCAGCCTTCTATCAAAGCCCGATTTCTGCGCTTCATCCCTTTAGAGTGGAACCCCAGGGGCAGAATTGGAATGCGGATTGAGGTGTTCGGATGTGCATACAGTAAGTGTTTGTTTATCCAACACACTGACGTAGCTATCAAAAGAGATGTTTTAAAAGCCAACCTGCACACCGAAGTTGACTTTATAGCTATGTCAAGAGATAGGAAAACAGGAATGATTTTTGTAGAAAGGTTTTGTGTGTGTGTGTGTGTGTGTGTGCGCACGTGCGCCCGTGCATGGCAATATTGACCTTAGCATTTAGTGTTCCATTTTAAATCAGAAGTGGAAGCATTTTATAGATCAATCTATATGAAGATAGGTCCAAACAGATACCTGTTTATGGACATATGTGAATCCATTTATCCAAATATCATATTGTTAACTAGGTCCTAACTTTCAAATATTAGAGTTACGCCCCTCACTGGACTATATCTGATGATGTTTCACTTAGGCACCCTGAATTTAATAAAAGATACAGTGTTCCATTTAGTATAACCAGTCAAATGTTAGAGCACCAAAGAATGTTGGTGACTCTAGCCTAAAAGTAATATGCCATGTAGCTAACTTATACACATGCTGTGCCCTCCACATAAATTCGTAGAAAAAGTAAAGACCTCTGCTAAAATATAAAATGTGTTTGAAATACTTTCACATAAAAAATGATAGAAACCACAGATTTCACTTCGTCTCCTCTTAATGAAGCAATTTATTATATCTTTTTGTGGGCCAAGGGCCCGAGAGTTATTGATTGCCTACCTCAAGTCACACCATCCTGTTAGATTCTCTTTTATTATAGAATAAGGAGTTAGTTAATATGATCTACAATTACCAGATAAGCAGTCTGAGGTTTGGAGAGACTCGGTAATTTGACCAGTGTCTCACGCCTAGCACACGGAAGAATCCGGAAAAGAGTCTGAGATTGTTCAGTTCCTCTATATCACGATTCAGCTAAAAGCTAAAGCTTTTTAGCCACTAAAGCTTTTGTCACACATAGTTTATCACTTTTTGATGTAAGTCCAGTTAGGTTCTGGTTTGCTTCATTTGCATGCTGGCAGGCAGGTCATACAGAGAGCAGGGGACGTGTTGGCGTTGTCAAAACCATGTCACACAAACCACATTGTCCAGACTGCACGTCTCCTTGCAATAGTTAGTGATGTTCCCGGCATCTTCCTCTCCCATTAGAAGTAACTGACCAGCCTTTTGTTCCCGCCGGAGCCTACAGAAGAGCGATCACAGTGTGAATATCAACAGTAATCACAATCATGGCAATAACACTAATTTTAATAGTACTAAATTTTTAAAAAGTCTAGAAGTCGCGACGTTTTCTTGAGTGCTTCTCACAGCGTTATATTCACAGTTAGTTTATAATTTTTTTACAAGTCCAGGTAAACATTTTTAGGTTACTACTCCATTCCCTCTCCTCCCCCCGCCTCCCTCCCCCAGCCCACTTTGCAAACAGGGAGGCTAAAATCTCAGGCACTAGGACGCGTTCAAGCCACGCTGATGGGAAGTGATGTCACTGGGTTTGCAGCTGGGTCTGGTGGACTCTGGGACCCATGCACAGGCTCAGGCTCCGTCCAGCTGTTGATTCGCAGAGAGGAGTTGAGGCAGCATGCTTCTCACCATCTGCCCACTTACTCTCTTGTCTCCAACAGCTCAGCTCAGCAGTTCCTGTTATGTGTTAGCTCCTTCTTCACAATGATCTGTTTCAATAAAATCACCCTTTAAAAAATCATCCTGCCCCGAAGCATAATTCTGACACACAGAACCCAAAAGTCTGTCTTATTTGTCTTTGGATCGTAGAGTTTAGCAAAGCCCATGCTGCACCATGGATAAGCAGCACAACAAACTTCAGAGGCTTCATATTTATAGTCATACCTCTACTTACTCAGAGCATCCGCCTTGCAAAATATTTATTTAACACAGTGTAAAAATAGCTAACAGTTCTTGAGCCCTTACTCTGTGTCAGATGCAGTTTTTATAGACATTCTAGTTTCATCCTAAAAATCACCCATTTAGTAGAGTCTTAGAAATATTAAACAGGTTTCCCAGTTGTACACCCTTGATACACATTCAATCTGGGGTGTAAATCCAATGTTCGTTGGAAAGGTCTGTTGACATTGGTTTTACAAAACTAAAGCACGGCTCATTATGTCCCCCTGGAAGGGGCTGCTGAGGAACAGGGTCCTTTGAGTTCTTTGCTATCATATGCAGCATGATGACCCACATCTCCCTCCACTTCCGTTGATCCGCAATCCCGTGGAACATTCTTTTTCCTGTGACTACATTTGCACTCTATTGCAGTGAGAACATTGTCTACGCATTTAATCAACTTCCTTTTTTTCATTGACCTGCAATTAAAGTAGCAGTACTGAGAGCCAACAAGAATTTAAATTCAAACATAAACATGTATGGTAAAGTGGTATGACAGGAGTCCATGTAAAATGGCTGTGGTATAAAAATGGCTGTGGTATAATTTTGGATAAGAGAAAACATTATAAGCAACAGAAAAGTTTTATCAGAGATAAGCTAAAAGAACCTCAGAATGGGTTGGGTGTGAGTGCCTTATTGAGTGTATTTGATCAAATATATTTTAATTCTTCAGTTATATTATCCACCTGTTAATGGTATCAGCCTTGCAACCTATGAATTTATTAGAACATGATTTTATGTAACTATCATTTATTAAATAGTTAATAGGTATCAGATACTTTGTTTTTAGGCATTTTCTGATTTAAACCTCACAACACAGTGAAGTAGGGGCATGAATATTACCATTTTATGCTGGAGTAAGAGGAGAGGAACAGAATTGTCTGCTGAATGAACCCCAGGGCTTGCTCTCAGTTCTGGTACAGATATAAGTGGGGACCACCAGCTCCCCTTTTCCTCAGAAGGAAGAGCTGCAGGTGCTCTCTGCACAAGAGCACAGCCACGACATTCTGTCTGCCACTCCCCAGAGTAGCCCAGATCCAAGATCAGTCTGGATTTTCTTCAGATACACAAGGCCATTCTCCTAAAATCCTTATATAAAAAAGGAAAAGTGGTTTTGGGGAGTGGTCAAGGTCTCTCTCCTAGATCACAGTCACAGGATTCCTGTCCGTGCTGGCAGTTAAGTGAGCCTCCTGGGAAAACCTGGAGGATTGCATGCATCCCATAGCCTGTGTGTCTGATCGCTTGCACCAAGTTAATGTGACTCTTGGCTTTGCCTGAGCCGCTCCTCAAGAGTGCTGTAGGCCAGGGTGCTTCATGTCCCCTGACATGAGGGAAAGTGAACCTGAGAGAAATTAAGAACTTTGTCTAGCATTACGCAGACTGCTCGTGTGAGATCTAAGATTTAAATTCACATCTGTTACTTTCCAAAGCCAGTGCTCTTGACAACTCTATGAATCATACATGGGTTCACCTTTTAAGTATTTATTGACACTTGCTGAAAGAGAACTCTACTAGGTATGGGGTATAGGGAGAAATTCTAAAATGATGTAGATTCCTTAATAAATGGGAATTATTATATATAGTGGTGTTTTTTGCATTCTAATCCTAGGTTTATTCAATACAGTCCTTTTACTCTATACAACAAAATACAAACACAACATTATATCAAATGCTGCAAAGTTACAAAACACAAAGGAAAATTTATAGTATTGACTGTACAATAAAAGCCAAAAAAGCAATGTACACATTGCCAAGGTAACATACAAGACCCCCATGAATAACAGCTCCAGCCCAGGGATCCATGATGACCCTTATAGAGCTGGCTCTCAATTTGCTTGTTAATTTCAGAGAGAGAAAGGGAGATGCGGGGTGTGGGGGTACGTGAATGAGTACATGTGAAACGAGCAATTTGTGGCAACATAATACAGGGTATTTGACCCTAGAGGTCAGAAGGGGCAATGTCATAAAAATTACACAAACTCAGTGTAAAATATGGTAGCACGAGTGTAGGATGGGAGGAATAGTGATTGAGATATTGGGATTAGTGTCAGAACACTTCTAGCAATAGGTTTGAAACTGAAGTGCACATATTTTCACTTGAGAGGCTGGAGGGCAGTCCAAATAGGAGAAGGGGCAGACCCTCATCAAGCACAGAGCCGAGAATTGCTTAGAGGATCGGTTTTTATTGGAGAACGGTCATTCAGGCTGAAAATAAGGGCACACGTGTCAGGAAGCTTCTAGTCTCACATGTGCAAGTGACAATGAGGACCTGAGCACCAACAGTTAGGAGAGAGGCTTCTCTTGACTTACATCAGACTCACATACATTGAAGCTGTGGA